TAGTCCAAAAGAATTTATACCCCTTAATAGCCTTCTTACTGTTAGTATCTGGGTTTGTAGCAAGTAGTGCGTACTCGGTGTATCCTCTTATATTGTGAAATTTACATTATCCTTTTTATAATTGTCATTATAACAAAGATACTATTTCTGATGGATTGGTGGTACTGTTCCTAGAAAAAAAAAATTTGCATATTGTTCCCGATAGGGATCTAAAAAGAACCCGAGACCAGTTTATTTTCATTTCTGTAGTAATTAGTATTTTTTAAAGGTTCCTTTTAGAACATCTATGAAGAACAATATGTAAATTACTTTTTTTTTACTTACCCAGTCAGAAACGGTATTTTTGTGTCATTGCATTTTAGCATTTCCTTAATAATATAATTATTATAGAATTCCGGCTCGAAAATCTATATTAGATGAAATTAAATCTGCGTTCGTAGCTTCCTTTTTATTGGGAGTTGGAAGTATGTTCTTGTCAATGGCTGTTGGAGTTTACGTGTAACCTAATTAATTATTGTACAATATAATTATACCTTTTCTAATGGTACATTTATGTGTACCATCGCAACAAAAACTTTTATATTTATGTACATGTTTGCCAGAATAATTGGCCATGTATTTGGGAATTCAATAAAATAAATGACTAATTTTTCTCTTAAAAATTTGATCACTTTGATCATGAGTAACTATGTTATTTTTATAGAGACGCGCTACTTCTGTTATTATTTAATAGATCGTAGCCTTGTCAATTTGAGTGTAAATTGTCTTTTTTTATCGAATAAAATATACATTTAGCAATGTTATTAAGAATATTATTAAACACAATCTATTAGCGATTAAGTGATGCAAATGCACGAGTAACACTACGTTGCAATTTCTTTCTAGTTGCATTAATTTCTTCTTTATTAATGGACGAATCATTAGCAAGATCAAGAAATTCGAGTGCCTCTGTAAAAATAAATGATTATTAAATTTTGGTTCAATGATTTTAAACAGTGACATACATTCGAACCTGAAAGGGCATTTTCAATTGCCTCCTTATCATTTCGTTTTAATTTCATTGCAACGTTAGGTTCATTAAGTGTATTTTCAATCTGTGCAAAACAAAATACATAAATATATATTAACGCAAATATATATATTTTTTGTATTAACAAAACGATAAAAGTATATGCATACTTGATAGACATAATTCTCAAGCTCCTGCTTTGCTTCAACTCGTTCTTGACATTGCTTGTCATCATCTTTAAATCTTTCTGATTCAGCAATCATACGTTCAATATCCGCAGCCGACAACCGTCCAGCAGAATTTGAAATAGTAATGTTAGCTTTGCGACCAGTAGCTCTATCTTTAGCAGTGACTTTGAGTATTCCATCCGCATTAATATCAAAAGTACATTCAAGTTCAGCTTCTCCACGTGGCATTGGAGGAATTCCAGACAATTCGAAAGATCCTAGAAGGTTATTATCGTGACACATTGGTCGTTCTCCTTCGTATACTGGAAATTCAACAATAGTTTGTCCATCCTCAGCGGTAGTAAATATCTTTTTTTTAATGGTGGGGATTGGTGAATTTCGGGGAACGACAACAGCCATTACACCACCTTGAGTTTCCACTCCTAAGCTAAGTGGTACAACATCCAAAAGTAAGAGGTCTTGAGTTTTCTCATTGCTAGCTTGATTAGTAAGAAGAGCAGCTTGTACAGCGGCTCCATAAGCAACTGCTTCATCTGGATTAATCGATTTGTTAAGCTCTTTTCCATCAAAAAAGTCTTGAAGAAGAGATTGAATTTTAGGAATACGAGTAGATCCGCCAACAAGGACGATCTCATTAATGTCCTTTTTTTCCATTTTTGCATCTTTTAAAACTTTTCGAACGGGTTCCAAAGTAGAATTAAATTGAGTAGAATTTAATTCCTCGAATTTGGCACGAGTTATAGTGGCTTGAAAATCAGTACCATCAAACAATGAATCAACTTCTACATTAGTTTGAGTTGTTGAAGATAATGCTCGTTTTGCACGTTCACATGCAGTTCTTAGACGACGTATGGCACGAGCATCATTAGAAATATCATGTTTATGTTTACGTTTGAATTCTTGCTTAAAAAATTCAAGGAGGTTATTGTCAAAATCTTCACCTCCAAGATGAGTATCGCCTGCGGTACTTTTGACTGCAAATACACCACCTGATATCGTTAAAAGAGAAACATCAAAAGTTCCGCCTCCGAGATCGAAAATAAGCACATTTTTTTCTTTGTTCTCTTTAGAATCAAGGCCATAGGCAATTGCTGCAGCCGTTGGTTCATTAATTATTCGGAGTACATCAAGACCTGAGATTGTACCAGCATCCCTTGTTGCTATTAAATATTGGTGAAAAAATTAATATTGTGCATATTGTTAATATATTATCATAATAATATAAATTCTATACCTAAACGTTGGGAGTCATTGAAATATGCTGGAACTGTGATCACGGCCTTCTTAACCTTTTTTCCAAGTTTACCTTCAGCAATTTCCTATTATAAGTAATAGTATAATCGAAGTTAGCATAAATCGAAGGTAACACGAATGTGTTAATAAAAATAGTAATAATGATCACCTTCATACGAGTCAATACCATTGATGATATTTCTTGAGGAGTAAAATTCTTTTTTTCACCTTGATGTTCAACTTGAATTAATGGCGCACCATCTTTATCGATAACAGTAAAAGGCCAATGTTTTATATCAGCTTTTACTTCCGGATCATCAAACCGACGACCTATTAGTCGTTTCGCGTCAAATACTGTATTTTTAGGGTTCATAGCAGCTTGGTTTTTAGCTGCATCTCCGATAAGGCGTTCACTACCAGCAAAAGCCACATAAGAAGGCGTTGTACGGTTCCCTTGTTCGTTGGCGATAATTTCTACCCAGCATTAAATACAGAATTTAAATAATGCATGATCTATTTAAGGTAATATATTTTTTTTTTTTTTTTTTTTTTTACGTCGGTTTGTCTTACCAACGCGTTCATCATTCTCCCACACGGCAACACAAGAGTACGTTGTACCCAAGTCGATCCCTATAGCTCCTGTGTATTCTTCTGACATTTCAACTTCTTTTTTAAAAACCGAACTGAAAGAATTAAAGAAATCAAATTTTTTCGATTAAAAAATGCATAGGATTCTATTGGGGTATTATATGTAACATCAATGATAAACTAAGTTGTGTGACAAATCCCAAATCACCATATGCTAATTCGAATTCTACCGGTAAAACTCCAATTCATATATTCATATTTTTCGATATACAATTTTAATTTGAAAAATGTCTCAACAACATAACAACAATTCTTCAGCTACCATGCATGACATAATAACCGAAGAGGCACCACCAGCATATTCACCTTATCCAAATTTAGGAGAGCGATCTATGGCTTTTGGCCCCGCCCGCGCTTTTGAAACCACTCCGTATCAACCACAACCTCAGCAATCAGCTTCAAATTACATATATTCTACGCCGTCAAATAATTTTTATCAAGCTACTCAACAAACAATTCAGCAGCCTGTTATTTACCATCAACAAGTCGCAACAAATCCCCCGCCACTTCCACCAAGAACTAATGCTACTTCTACTACCAGTATTTCAACACTTCGATATCCTGCAGGTTATGTTTGTTCGATTTGCAATAACACGGGATATACTGGACAAAGAACCAAGTGTCAACAATGTTGGAAGTCATTTGCTGTACCTAATGCAAATTATGGAAGTAATGTAAGGTCGCCACAAGGAAACATTATATATGCATCACCTGGAGATCCAATTATTGGAGGTCAGCTATGTACTAACTGTCGAGGTAAAAATAAGAATTTGACTCATTTTGATTTATGAATCGCTTTATATTATTTGGTACTGATTAAAATTATTGCATTACCATATAAACTTTTTTCTAGGTTCTGGAAGGGTTAATCTCTTCTTTATAGAGGACTTATGCCCTAGATGTCAGGGTGTCGGGAGAGTATTTACGTGATTTAGTCTTTCATCTTTATTATGATATTAACAAGAGTAATAGTTTTAGAATAAAAGTTCTAATGATATATAAAAATTTCATATTATATCACACGATATATATACTTTTGTTTAATTGAAAAAGGGACTTTATATTATAATGACGCAAAGATACATCTATATGACAATAAAAAAAAAAGCAATAAAATACGTCATCACACAACGCTGATTTGACATTTAAATTGTTCACCATATTTTTATATTTTCTCCCACTTTGCAAATTTTGCATGAATCAAACATTTTCCTTACCTTTCTGTTTTTATTCAAAAATTGTGTTTTATTCAAATATGGAAATTGATAATTTGTCAGATATCTTTGGAGACTTTGAATTTAATGAGGATAATGAATTTTTTATGGATGATCAAGGCGATATTGAAGAAAATTTTGAGATGGTTTTTCAATATTTTATTTTATTTTGATTTTTCTTTTCTCCTTTAAATTCGATGTTCTATGACTCATTTACGAAAGAATACTATAAATATAATACAGCTTTATGATGAGCAAGAGACTGTCGATTATAAAGAGGAAACAACGGAATCCTTGGATGAATTAACAAGTCGTTATTTTCCAAGTGACGAAAATCTTACTCTTGAATCTTATGTAATAGAGCATCATAAAACATTGAACAGTAAACGATGTGGATTGCCAAATCATGTCTCACTTCGTGACAGAAATGGCTTATATAATGAAAATGAAATACTTCATAAAAGGCCGTCAAGTATTTCTTTTTTCAAAGACTATGTTAATAGTCGAGGAGACGAAATCAACAATGATTATGATGATGATGATGACGACGACTATGATTCTAGAAGGCGAAAATCTCATCGCAAGTTTACATCAGAAAAAAATCAGAATAAAAATGAAATGTTCTCATCAAATAAATCTTTAAAATCATTCGATAAACTGACTCATGCTCCTCGAAAATTTAAACCTATTATTTTCGACATTACTCCGGAAAGCGTTCATAATGGGAAGACCAAGAGAGATATGTCTAGAGTTGGAAAAGATCACATGTTACCAAAGTTCAAACCCATTGTTTTCGATCTTCCCCAAGAAAACCTTCAAAATGGAGAGACTACCGAAAATAACGACGGTCTGATGTCATGCGCATCTTTTGAAAGTCAATCAACAAAAAGGAGAAAGAGTAATAATAGTGTAATGTCGCGTTTGACCTTTCTTAATGGATGCGACGTTATGTCACGTGTCTCTTTTATTGGAACGGGAGATGTTATGTCGCGCATTTCTTATGTGGGAAAAGATACAGAATCGCTTAATAACAACGTAATGGCACGTGTATCATTCGTAAATAATGATTCAGAATCACTTAACGACATAAATAGAGTGACATCGCATCTAACCTTTCTTAATCTTGGCAAAGAAAAATACACTAATAAAATATCCACTAAGGCAAGTCATTTTAAAGTTTGCGACCTAATAAATAGTTTATCAAATATTTAATTATTTTTGTGAATTTAAGCAGGTCGCAAAAAATGATTCTATTTTGCGGGCTATTCAAGTTGATTCATACATTGATGATCTTTATAACGAGGATGAAACTTCCGATGGTGAGGCTGATCGGCTATCAGTTACTTTACTCCTCCAAACACTCACCATTGGAAATTTTATCAACCATTATCCTTGTGCAATTTCTCTCAATCCGACTACCCAATCTATTTGTTTTACTAACTTAATGGCAAATACCAGTACATCTGGTGATACATCTCGTCTTGAAATCCATATCAAAGGATTTGAACATTATACTAGGAATGATAAACTCATAGAGCTGTTATTGGCGAGCAAAGTTTCAAAATGGTTAATACCTGTATGTTATTCAATAATAAATAATTCATTTTCTACCTTTATTTGTTTGCTTTTTATGGCTTTGTCTCCATTTGGTGAAAAATTGTGATAACAAACAATAGGTGAGAACAATATTAAACGACAATGAAATACACCTTTCTATTGATCCATCAGAAGGTGAAATTGCTAAAGCGGGTAAAATTTCAATGATTGTATCTGATCAAGAAAATTCTGATAAGCTGAAAGCCATGGATAACGCTTTTAGGTATTTAACCTTTTTGGTAGGGTATCCGCAGTTAAAGTATAGATCTACAATGGAACTTCCTAATTAATTTGTATATGATCGTTGACGATAAATTAAATTTTACATTTAACGAATGTGGTTTATTGATATATATTTTAAAGAATGTATATAGAATTTTATACCCAGGAACTTGACACATTTCATGTCATATCACTTATACCTTTAACAGCGGATCCTTCAGTTTTTTTAATTCTTTAAATCTATTTATATACTAACGTATTATTTTAATATAGAAAATTACAAATAGAAGCCACAGACCCTTTGGACATTACTATGGTATCTTATGATAAAATGCTGGTAAGGATTTTATTAATGTAAGATGTAGATCTGACAAGGCTTTTTTTCTATCGATCCTTATTTCTTTTAACTTTTTTTTTTTTTCTTTAATAAGATACCAACTTTAATAAATTATGAAAAATTCCGATTTCATTATGATCTGCCTTATGTTACTACACTAAAAAACCTCCTTGAAATATTGCGAAAACGCTTAAATTCAAAAATAATTTCACCACCTCTTTATTATACATCCGATAGTAAAAGGACTTTTGTTATTGAAAATGAAGAAAATTGGGAGGAATGTAAGAAAATGGTTGCTAAAGAGAGGCATGAGTGTGAAAATATCATGGGTAATGAAGCAATTTTGGATTTGTATGTAACAAACAATAATATGGAGAATAGCATTGAAATGTAAAACATTTTGCTCTATTTACTATATTAAAATACAAGTATTTCTTTTTTTCCTTTTTTTTTCTTTTTTTTTTTGCGACAACTTTTATAATAAACTAATAGTTAAATTTGACATTTTTCTTTCTTATGAACAATTATTTCTCATGCACGCAATTTTGAGGCATCAAATAAATATTATTAATCAAAATTTATTCAAATAAACAGTTTGGTGATAAATATTATGTACATTAATATGTATATATATTAAATAGCAAATATTATATAACTTATTCAAATATTTTGTATTAATGCATTTATTAGCCGTTACTGACAAATATTATGATCTTTATTTATTACAACCATATGTTTAAAATCCCAAAATCTCTTTATGCCTTTGTTCCAAGAATCTAAATAGACTACCTTTTGATTTATCCCATTGATTATGCCAATGATAAGCAAATACCTGTAATAGTTTCTCTTGATTAAATTCTACTTCATCAAACGCACTAGGCATTGAATTACTGGGACGACATACCGAAGGATCGGTAAAACACCAAGGAACCGCTTTAAATGGTTTTCTCTCATTTTGTACTAATCGTCTAAATATTTTATAATATAAAGTTGATCCCCAGTCTGTTGAATCTTTTCTTGGTGCAGGACCGTTAGCCATCTCTGATAAAAACTCACAAACATATGGAGAGCTTTTTCTAAATCTCATGAAAGCACCATTGAACGGAAAAGCTTCAGGCAAAAAACAATCCCATTGACCAACCCATTCGTGTTCTAAAAGTGGTGAAAAATCGCGGATAAAGAGGGAATCCATATCAAACCATACACCACCATATTTGTATAATACAAGAAGCCGTATTAAATCACCATCTAGGTAAGCGTGTTTATCCTCAATTTGAAGATTTTTCGAATTTTCCATTGGTGTTCCTTTGCTTTCTTCTTCGACATCATAAAGTTTTGTGAAAAATCTATCAGAGTATCGATCAAACAAGGGTTTAAGTTCAGTATTATTTGACAGATCACCATTAGACCAAAGAATCATGGATGAATAATTAGCAGATTGTGTTGCAAAGAATGATTTTATAGTTGCAAGTTGCTTGTCCTCAAGAGGTCTCAAATCAGTACGCCAATATGTATGATAAATTGTCTTTTCTTGTGGTTGTTCAGGTAATAATCTTATACTATTTGCAAAATCGTAACAATCCCAACCATAATTTATAGGTATTGCAGGAAGAATTTCATTATAAGTAATCGTAGATTGCGAATCAGATACGTAAGAGATGTTATCAAAACATTCACTTAGTTTTTCATATTTAAATTCTTCTTTCACTAGCCATTGTCTCCAATAAATCCGAGCATTAAGCTGCAATTCGCAAAAAGTAAAAAACGATATGATAGCAATGATTACTATTAAAATAAGTAATTTAATAATTGTCGTACACCTTGCACGTTTCGGTGGCTTTGGCCACTGTGCGTTTAATCGTATATATGGTGTTGTTGTCGCCATTTAGCCGATGAATATGTTTGTATTCTTATTTTAAAAAATGTATGTTAAATATTATATTCATAATTTTATAAATTAAACGTTTTGAGAAGATATCGGGGAAGTAGTAACGTTATTATACACAAGCGGCAACTTATAGACTGAAAAATGTTACACGGCATAATTTTCTAATTCTGCTATTTTTGATCTCATATGTTACACATATCGACTTCATTTAGCTCTGGTTGATCAATGATATCGAGTAAAGTTAATGTAGTAAGAAAAATAGTGATATGGTAAGCAGAGCAGTTAGCGTATACACAATTTACCTTGCATTCACTTGTTTCTGAAAGTCTAAAACTATGATTTTAGGATCTACTCATCGCTATTACAGTATATCTCAGTATACTTGGTTTCATAGTTTTTATATTATTAATGGGACCGTCACCTCGTTTCAGGTTATTATTTAATCTTGATCTGCCGAGTCATCATTATTTTACATTTATTGGCGCTTTTATTTTATTATAGAAATGGTCCAATCGGTAGATTACATCTTTTTTTGACGGTTACATTATTCGAATGGATAGGGTTGGTCTATTTCTATTGATTTCTTTTTTTTTGGCAAGTCTATTTTATTCGGAATCTAAACATTGGTCAATTTTCTTTAACTTAGGTATACTTTTCGGAAACTTTTCGGGAACCGTGCATCACGGACATGTGATCGATTGTATGTGTACTTTACAGAAGAAACAAATCCAGTTTTACAGGTAATATTCGGGTTTTTTCATTGCAAGTTGCCAAAAATCTATGATAGTCAACTAAACTTTAATGATACTGTATTCCATCAAACAGATTGTTTATTTATCTTTATTGTCAGGATCTATTTATTCATTTTATATAACCGCGTGGCCTCATATTCCAGGGCCTTATGTCTCCAAAATACACGTGTAAGTAGTGTACGTGTCAAACGATCAAATGCTTGCTTGGTTTTCACTATTTTTGATTGTTCATATTTTAATTATTTCAATGATGATAATTTTTTTAGATATATCGTTCCGATAGTGATTATTTTTACATACGCCACATTTATTATCGCAAGCCTCAGCGATCCTGGAAAAATAACAAAGGAAAACGAGCTTAGAGCTTGTAGAATGTTTGAATACGATCTCCTATTATTTCGGCCAAAAAAATGTAGAACTTGTCTGATACAAAAGTAATATCTTGTTATTTTAATATATTAAATACGGAATTTTTTTTATAATAAACAAAATGTATTTTATTAATTTTACAGACCTGCACGTTCAAAACATTGTTCATTATGCAACGTATGCATAGCTAAATTTGATCACCACTGTAAGTTTGAAAATTTTCTAATTATAAGAGTTAAATGAAATTTTTGAAAATTTGAATAATATATTTCATATTTTATAGGTGCGTGGATCAATAACTGTGTTGGTTTAAGGAATCATCGCTATTTTATTCTTTTTTTATATGCCACATTCCAAATCTGTGTTTATGGCGCATATTTGATTTATTGTATATTAAATGGTATAGCAAAGAAAATGAATTTGCATACTGCTTTTGTATATAATACAAGAGGATTGAGAATACCAATCTCTACTTACCAAGCTGCATTGGTAAGTTTTTATTACTTTTTAAATTCCATTATTTCCACAATAAATATTAATTTATACTATCTATTTTAAAAGTTCTTAATTCATCAAGAAAGACTTCTTGGTGCTTTAGGACTTTTCGCTGCTCTTGTTAGTGTGGTTATTTTAATATTTATGCTTTATCAACTTTATTTGGTAATCACTGGCACAACATCAAACGAATCATTCAAATGGGAAGATTTAGATGAAATTATTATGGCAGGAGAATTTTGGGTTTATGAAAAAGAACCTGATGATTCGACAAAGAAATCAGATGATAAAGAGCCCGGCAGTTCGGTTGAAAAGACTTCGGGAAGAACAACGGCAGTTTATTGGATACAACCACGTGATTTAAAACAACGCCAAAACAATGAAGACAATGGCAGAATAAATAATGAAGATAATAACAAAGATAGCAACAGAGAAGACAATGACAGAGAACATAATGAAAATGAAAGGAATAGTAAGAGTCAACAAATCGGAAGGCAGGTAAAGAGGTTATCAGAAGTCAAAAATATTTATGATAAAGGATTATGGAGTAACCTTCGTGAAGTTTTCTTTCCTCCTTCTTTTAATGAATAAGAGACTTTATAAGCGTGTAATAATAGATATTCATAATTCATGTTTTCCGCATAGAATTTATTTATTTATTTGCTTATTTAGCTTGAAATAAAGGCACCCAGCTAATAAAAATTCATAGAGCCGTTTTTTAAAAAAAACAAGAATTTAAAATTTTACAAATTAAATTTTTTTTTTTTTGAATTGTAAAGTACATACTTTTTTAATTGAAAAATTACATTATAATTTCTTACAACGAAAAATATTAATTTTTATAATTTTTTGTAATAATAATTATGCTATGCCAAACATCCAGAATGGAGGAACTCCATTTTTCCTTATTCTATTACCCAATCCAACATTACTATCGATATTTTCTCTTCTTTCCGACTCATCACTATAATCAAAAGAATATTTTTCACTAAATTTTATCAAAATTCTTTGAAAGTACTCATTTTCATTGTTCCTTTGTGAAAATTTTGAACTAATTTTATGAGCTTTATGCGCTATGTACATTAAAGGTTTTAGTAAAAATAAACCATGTTTTTTTCGTCCTTCAACTTCATATTTATTTAAATGACTCATTATAGCCTTTGACAATTTTTGACCATCCTTTGATTTGTATAACCATAAATCATTACTCACTTTAACATTTTGTATTATCCTTGTAATCAACATCCAATAATGTAAATTTAATGACTTATACCTAAACACTTCATCTTCATAAGCTGAAGGTTTAATCATCTTATTCCTGATCATATTTTTTACATACATCATCTCATATGGTTGACTTATTTTAGCAGCATTCATTAATGATACATCACGAGCTATATAAAATTGTTTTCCTATTCTCATTCTTAATCGATTAGAAACTCTTAAATGTAATCTGACATCATCAATGAACCCAGAGAGAGAAAGAATCTGAAGATCATAAAGAGTTCCTCTATGGTCCGGTTTACGTCCTGTCGAAGTGCCCTCCGGTGAACTTATTAAATATTCAAGCCAATATGATGCTAACGCTTGAAGTTCTACAAATTCTCTATGTGTTAACGCTTTTATTCTATAAAGTAATTTACATGAATCAAGAAAATGAGAAGGATCGGTTTCAAATATGTCTTTAGGTATTTTATAGAAAACTGATGATGATTCTGAATTTTTGGGAATTGTACGTGGAATCTTATTTAAATATGGAAAACCATATCCTTCATCAAATACATTGCAATCAAGACAAGTATCATTGTATTCTAAGAGAGTAATTTTATCTTCTTCTCCAATACCATATGATGATAAAAGAAATGTACGAATAAGATTTGCAGCCCATCGTGAATATAAAAAATTGCCAGAAAAATATTGAGCAAGAGTTAAGGTTGTTATATTTTCAAATAATTGAGAAGTTGAGATGGAAGATTCAAGCATTTCATTTGATTTGCCATCAAGTTCAGGCATTTCATTTGATTTGCCATCAAGTTCAGGCATTTCATTTGATTTGCTTTCAAGTTCAGGCATTTCATTTGATCTGCTTTCAAGTTCAGGCATTTCATTTGATTCGCCATCAGGTAAATTTGTTTCCGAATCAGTATTTAATTTTAAGAATGTTATTTGAATACTAGTATTGAGAAATAAAGAGTCATCAACTTTATGTAAATCAGAAACTTCAGAAGTTATCTCGTCAGCTCGATTTAACATAACATCAACAATCCTCGTAATCTTCTCGTCACCAGACCAATATTTTATTCTTGCATTACTTAATGAATTTTCATCATATAAAAATAATCGATCTGGATTAAAATTTTTATGGGTTCTTGCTATTCGTTCATCTATTCCATCAATTAAATCTTGAATAGCTAATAAACGATTAAATGCTCTTAATGCTCCTGATTCTTTTTGATTTAACTCTTGCGATGCCTGTCCGGAGAATAGTCGGAAAACCCAGCCGACTTTCATATACAAGCTTTTAGATGTGTAGTTAGATGGTGTATTTTGTGCATTTTCATTAGTTTCCCATGGAATAACTGGCCTGGCAATGAATCTACTTGGAGTTGGAACACCTAATCGCCATAACATTTCCAGCTATAATAATAAAATATAATAATCAATTAATATTAATATTATATATATGAGTCCCGCCAAGAAAAACCTGTCATCGGACTTTCAATCATATTTAGTATTAGACACAATCCCTAATACTGTAAAATTGGAAGCCCGATTACTGGTTCTCTCTTGACGGCATTCATACTTATTTATTTATTTATTAGACTTATATATAGCATACCTTTGATCTTCTACCATAACGCATATTCTCGTTATATTTTTCTTCAGCATCATGTCTAAATATAATTTGAGGTTCCTCAGGAGTTTCTGGTTTTTGATCCGAATCAGACAATAATTGAGAATTATTTAATAACCTTGCCATAGGAACCACGAAATATTTATAATCCTTGCCCCATTTTTCAATTTGTGACGTAATCTCGGTAAAAGCGCTATTAGTTATGAAACAATTTCCATCAAAAGGGAATATCCATCGAGCATTTGGTTGAGATTGACCATGTTTCAAAGCTACATTTCGACCACCATTCTAATAAAAATATAAATAATATAATATTAATAAAAAAAAAAAAATAAATAAATAAATAAATAAATAAAAATGCTAGATTATTTTAAAAAGGTAAAATAATTTAAACGTACATTATTCATAACATAAATATTCTTATCATGGTAAGTATAATCGATTGTTCTTATTTTTGCAACTTTTGTAAAGTTCATAAATTCATAAGAATGAAAGAAATCAGGTTCAGGAAAATCTTCTAAACGAAAATCAGCTCTAAGATATTCATCCACATTAAAAGGTATTCTAATATAATCTTTTTTATGTTGTTTTAATAAATCTATTATCGCATTTTCATATTCATTATCAACAATACGATTAATTATCCACCATTTTTTTGTATTTGGAAAATCAGGTTCATTTTCTAAAATAAATCTAGTATTTTGAAGTACTTGGCCAACTTTATGTCTTGGAGGAAGGTCATTGCCAATAATTCGATAAATATGTATTTGCTCATATGAATTAAAAGATGGTTCTATAGGTAATACTCGAATATGAGACATGAAAACAGTCATAAATGCTAAACTAATTAAAATTAGAATAAACCGAATAATTCGCTCTTTACGCATTGTAACAGGAAAAGTCCGATCTAAATTGCCAACACCATTATAGTGGCAAGGTAATTTATTACGTGAACCGTTTAATCTTAAAAAATAATATCCTCGTTTCATTGAAGACATTATTTTTAATCCAAAAAAATTGTTTTTAAAGACTCGAAAGACTCGAGTAAATAATTTTAGGCCGAAAATTTTTTATAAAGGTAGAAAAATATATTAAAATGGCAAATGTGGCATCAAGTAAACCAGATACTTTGATCCCTCTTGATAAAACTAGAATAAATGCTTTACCAAAGATTTAAAATATTGAAAAGAATAGGGTTTGAAGATCTTTTTCGTAGCAAAAAAACAATGACTTTAAGAAATAAAAAGTGAGAATGGTCGGAGAATGCAAATGGTAAGCATTTATATAAAAACTTATCTATATAGTAGCACAATGCAACGTTCTAGTTATTTGTGTATAAAACGATCGTTCAAAAAAAAAAATGTCAGTACAAAGCGACGAGTTCAAAAATATTTCTTTTTTTATCAATTTAGGAAATACATTATTATGCAGGATATATTATAATTAGCATATAATAATTATTTTTGGAAATGTCTAATTAGATTACTAGATTACAAATACGATAAGAACCTATCACGTGATTCAAGCGGTGCGAATTACGGAATTAGACCCGCGCCAAGATAAATTTATTTTTAGAGATCACAAGTATGACATGATGCAAAAGAAGTGTTACTGGCAATCTTGACTAACAATACAGTGCTATATTTATACCATATTACAGTATTAACTTTAAATTGACTGTTTATCATATAGTATAAAACTCTTTCAAATATTTGAAAATTTTAGTACGTATTTTACCGTTACCATTTTTAAGAAAAAAAGAAAATTGAATATGAATGTTTTTGTTTGATAAATTTTATTTCTAAAAAAAGGTCGATATTCTTATTAAATATTTATTATTATTTTTTTTAAATTTTATACTATAGAGTTGATACATGTATTTATAAATTACTAATGCTACAAGTTTGAATAAATAAATAAATAAATAAATTTTTAATTAGACCAAAAAAATTATGATTTTTTGCACGTTTATATTGATATACGTAACCTTCGTTACGTATCATATATAATTTTTTCTATATACGAATATCGCCAAGTGAAAATTTGAAAATCTTAATTCGGCTGATAAAAATTTTAGTTAATCTTAAAAAAAAATTATACTTTAATTCAGCAATTTATCCTTTTAAATTATAAACTATATTATATTTTTTTTTTAATTTAAAAAAGAATTAATCACGTATCATACGATTTTGTAAAATATAGTAACTTGTGCAATGCCGAAATCATATCCCTTAATCTCAATCAATGATTGGATTCGGATTCGAATCCTCGGAATAGGACGATTCAATGGTAACAGAATCATATGAATCCAATGCTTATTCACGATATATAGAAATAAAGGCATATTATTGGTTTTTTTTTGTAGTTAATACTGTAATATCCCTTAACAAGTCACTGCAATGTGATGCAACAATATTTCATTTATGAGTCTCTATTTAGCAATCATTAACGTTAATTAATATTCGTGTATTGTAGAATTTTCTAGCACCCTGGTAATTCCATTAATTCCCATAACGATGAGTATTTTTCACAACTTGTTTATTCTTTACATGTTTACATGTACATCTAACGCTAACGCCCATACTCAAAAAAGATCGTTACCTAATCGATGCATTACATATTGCTATGATATAATTTTCGTTTCAAGTTAAATGATCATTGAATATGCTCTAACTAGAGATGGTATAAATCTGAACGTTTAGACGGATCTGGTACTGGTTTAACCACTAAAATATTCTTTCAGGTATTGGGTTGTGCTATACATGTATGATTTAAATATAAAAAATTAATTCATTTATGCAATAATTAATAGTTCTGCTTACCTTTAAAAAAAAATTAATAATTCCGTGGCTATTGATTATGTGCTACCGAACTCGGCCCATAAAATTGATCGGGCACTGATTACGTATGTCAAATATGTATGCGGCTGATCATTCTATAACACTGCTGCTTGGTCATCAGATAGATCTGTTGCATCTAAAGTAGCGATTTATCTAAAGTAGCTACTTTAGTAGGGTGTCTGGCACGCCAAAAAAATTTGGCATGCTACAAGGCATGCCTTTTGTTAAAATTTGTGCCATGGCATGC